TATATTTTCACCAACCCAGCAAAATCATATTATTATAAATGGCCAAATAGTAGTCACTTTCTATCTACCCGGCTAATCACATCAATCTCATAGTAAATTTGTATTAACCTAATATGTAAATATTGTAATAGAAGTGTGAGAATAGTATGTAATGTAATTATAAGCTAATTATATGTAAACAAGTTCACAAAATCTTCCTTTATTTTTATGTATTATAACGGAAGTCATTTTGCTAAGGTCTAAATTGTTGTATGTATGTTCATCGGTTTATCCTTGAAACATAAATCATTCTAATGCTTCATTCTAAAGTTTCTTCAATGGCATACTATCACTAATCATCTTTTATATTTGTTAATCATTATTCTTCTGATGGATCATTATAACGGAAGTCATTTTGCTAAGGTCTAAATTGTTGTATGTATGTTCATCGGTTTATCCTTGAAACATAAATCATTCTAATGCTTCATTCTAAAGTTTCTTCAATGGCATACTATCACTAATCATCTTTTATATTTGTTAATCATTATTCTTCTGATGGATCCTTAAAGAATGTAATTCATATGAAAGATATGATGTTTCATCATTTTGATGCACAAACTTTGAATATAACATAATTTTGATGTGCTTATTTCAGAAGCATTTGTTTACTTAAAATCAGATAGTCCTTTAGCACACCATTTTGATATTAACTTTGGAGCAACTTCATTTTGATGCTGCAAACTCTATATAACCTTTGATGTAGCTTCTAAGTAAGAATTTTTTTGATGTCTTTGCGATAAGTTAAGAGTGAATCTTTAGAGAGAAACTTTGACTTCTTCATTCAGATGAGCTTCATTAAATTCTTTTGATATTCTTTACTTGATGCACCTTGAATACATCTATTTTGAACTTTTGTTTTGATTTGATTATTACCAATTTCCCCTAAAACACTTAGCTAAAATGTCAATGTAGATGACTTTTCATCAATCTTATAAGTTGCATAACTAAATATTTATCATAATTAAAACAACTTGGGGTCTAGATTTAACACCTTTTGATGTCAGTTTTAACCTATATAAGCCTTTTTCTTTAATTCACACACACATATATGTTCTATTTACATTTTTTTTTTCAAAAGCACTTATAGAAAAATAAAATAAAAAGGTAAAATGAATTGATTTTTTTTCTTCAAGTTAAAATCAACCTATACTTTTTTTTTCAAGAAGGTAGTTGAGAGATTTTAACCTACCTTTGCTTATATAGAAAATATCAAAAGCCATAACTAGAAAAATGACATAATAGGCAATAATATCAATTTAAGAACTTAGGATTTGGTTGGATAACTTTTTTTTTTTATAAATACTTTTAGGAGAAAAAAAAGTCTTTTCGTAAGATAAAATTAACTTATATGTAAATTTAATGTTTTTTTCATAAAGAAATTACTTTTGAGAAGCTTGTATGTATAAAATAACTATTTTGAGCTTTTTTTATATGTGGAGAAAAAAGATAAATATATAAATCTATTTGATCTCACTTATCCAAGTGAAGTGGGTCAAACTAGTGAAGAGAAACTCATTATTTTTAGTGAGAACAACAACCATTAAAGAGAAAATAGAAGAAGCAAAGTCATCCCCCATATTCATTAGGTAACTAACATGTATTGCAAGCAAATATTTTTTCAATGTTTATTGAGTTGGGTTGATTTTTGGGCAAGTTTCTAGAAACTGGATTCTTGGTTTTTAACCGTTGAATCCATGAAATAAGGTATAAAATGAGAGAAAAATTGTTTATAGCAACAACTTTATTTTGGATGTTTTTCATTTTATTATCTCATTTGTTAATATTAGTGCTTGAGTTGCTTTGATTAACTGAAACTTGAAAATACTATTTGACACACTTATTGAAAACTTGTGTCCTTATTGATCCTAGTTGAACTATTTATTTGATTAAGACAACTCTTGATTTTTATTCTAACATTGAAAGATTTCTATATAAAAAATCTCTATGTCCATTATGCATTTTGTATTTTGTATTTTTACTTTATTTTTGTTGGTGCTTTCATTTTTATATTCTGGCAAATTGGTAAAATTTTATTTTTCTACTTATTCCTTTATTATTGAGTTGTTATTATATCGACTTTTTCTTGTCAAAATTAGTTTATTTGTAAACTAATTTTATTTTAATTTATTTTAATTAATTAATTTTTTATTTTTTATTCTTATCTTTTATAAGTATTTATGAAAAAAGTTTATCCTATCTGCTATAAGGCACTAAACAATTAAATCATCAATTAGTCTTAACAATAGGACATTAGAAAAAAATGAAAATTACACGGACTATTAGCATGTTTAATGTTTAGTCTTAGTAAGGAAAATTGATTTCAATTTTGGTTAATACAATACAACATATTATTATTGAAAAAATCAATTTAACGTGGTGACTATATATACAAGGTAAGATTCGAACCACCTTATTTAAATGTGAGTCAATAATTACTGCCAAACCAGGTCCCCTAATGTTAGAGAAACTACTAAGAATATATTTGAATATGCGTTTTTTTAAAGTAGGTTTTCACTTTACAAAGAAAAATTGAGAAGCTACAAGGTTATTACTTTTTAAGTTGAACGGGCTCATGAGGAAAATCGCATTTTAGGTCACACTTAAATACAATACTTGAAGTACATGCCCCCATTGCACATAGAGAAAAAATAACTTTAAATTGTTGTATGTATGTTCATCGGTTTATCCTTGAAACATAAATCATTCTAATGCTTCATTCTAAAGTTTCTTCAATGGCATACTATCACTAATCATCTTTTATATTTGTTAATCATTATAGGAGATAGAGTTAGAAAGATTGCACATTGAGTTATATACTAGTTCACCTCAAACTAGATTACATCCAATTCTTACATAACCTTGTGAGATTTTTCATTAACACAACCACTATTGTTTATGTTACAACATTAGTAACCTCTTGATACAGATTATTTACTACATAACCATCTGTTGTTAATGATTTTCACTTAGTCACCTATCGAGATTTCTCCCTCAACAATATGTTGAGATACCCAACCTCATAACCATCTACTATGAGATGTTACAACCACTTTGTTGAATTCTTTTCTTCCTTCCTACACCTCTACAACTAAAATTTGGGTACGAAATGTTTTTACAAGGAATGAGTTTGTGTATCATAGCACTTTACTATGGTTATAATAGAATCCCCTAACTAGAACTTCCACTTAGGAAGATTCACACTTCATGGAGTTCTCTAAAAAATAGGGTATGAAGCAAGGATTACAACTTTGATAGCTTGTGTTTTGATTCCTCTCTTTGGCCTTGCTAACTTTAAAAATGTAGTCTTGGTCATCATTTTATAGCCTTTAAAATAGGTCTATTGAGGTTAGCTTATTTTTTAAGATGTGCTAATATCAATTGTACTTTCCTCTTTTGGTGTTGTCAGCTTTTCCTTTAGAAGTTGTTACCTTTTGAGAAACCTTCTCTTCAAACCTTCTGAGTAGAGTCTTTAGTATCAATATTTTGAGAAATTGAGTTTTAACTGAAACTTTTTTATGAATGGTTCAAAGAACTAAACTCCAATGGTGTGTTTGAACAAAAAATTTTACAAATTCAAGGAATTTTAAATTTTTGGTATTTAAATTACTTTGATTTTAATTTCTATCATTCATAAAATACTTTGTTTGGATAAGTCAATTTAAATTTTTTTTTAAATTTTAAATTATTAGATTGGATATGATAATTTAATTTCACCATGGTAAAATTGATTTTAAAAATATATTTCTATGTTGGGATTTTTAAATTAAATTTTATAAAAAAATAAATAATAGCTAATTTTTAAATATTTATTAATTTTAAAAATTAATGTTAGATAATATTTAATAATTTTAAAAAATATTTTTGAATATTTAATAATTAAAAACATGAAAAGATAAGAGATAGATAAAATATATCAGTGAAATAAGAAGGAAAAAAATATGAGAAATTTCAAATTCTTACTTTTTTGGAAGAATTTGAAATTCTAATGTTTCAAGAAATTTCACAAATACTTGAATTTCAAATTCTTTATAAATTCTCTATCCAAACAAAGTATTTCATCTCAAGAAATTTGAATTCTTCAAACAAATGAATTACTTTACTTAAATTTCTTATCCAAACACACTACATGCAAACTCTTTGTTATTAAAACTTGAAACTAAGAATTTGTCATTTTTATTGTCACTAGTTAACTTTTTAAAGGTCACTAAAAGTGAATTTTCATTTAGGGATAAATTTAAATCAATTTTCTTAAAATTTAAATAGACAAAAAAACTCAAATATGCAAGAATTTTTTTTATTTTGAAAGCAATTAAAATCACTGAAAAATTAAATTACATGAATTATATATAAAGTATATTACTAGAATAATCGAATTAAACCATGTAAAGTAAATTAAATAGACATGCATGTTTAGACTATATATATAAGCTTATGGCATTTGTCTAAATTTTAGCGATACTTATAACTTTAATTTGACCAAAAACCCTTATCTCAAATTTGCTTCATTTGTCTGAATTTGAGTGATACTTATATCCTTAATTTGACCAAAACCCCTTATCTCAAATTGTTTTTTTTATAATATTTAGGATTTGGTTCACTACTAGAAATATGTCATTTATCTAAGAATTTTATTCAAAAAAATATTTGTAGAAAATTATTGCAAAAATTATTGCAAATATAAATCTCTAATAAATTATTATAAATATTTTTGTAATTTTAAATTTGCAGAAAATTCTTGCAAATTTTACTACAAAAATATTAATTATATGAATTTTTTGTTGCAAATAAAAATTTTAAAAAAAAATTGCAGGAATTTTTTTATTTTCCTACAAATTTTGTTTTAAATATAAATTCGTAAGTAATTTATTTTTTTTGAGTAGTATTTCCTGCCAATTTTCTTATTTATGATTGTTTTTATTAATTTAAAAACTGAAAATATTTTTGAATCCTCCGTAAACGTAAACACACATTTCAGTCTTCCTTCACTTTGCATTCACCTCCGCAATACTTTTCTCAGCTTTTCCTCTGTAAACGCGTAACCTCCGCACACCGCTCACCGCACACTTTTCTGAGCTTTTCCTCATCACCTCCACCGTGCCACATCCACAACATTTCTCTCCTTTTCTCGTTCCGCATAACATCTGTTAGGGTTTTTGTTTTCTCTCCTTTTCCTAATTTTTCTCACCGCACAACACTTCATTTTGTGTGCTTTTGAATGTAGATTTTATAATTTTATAATTTTGTGTGCTTCAGCTCAATGCTACTCAGGTGTATAATTTTATAAGCTGTTACTTACTAGTTACTACTTTTGCACTTTTGCTTGCTTCTCGATCGTGTATGCACGTGGTGCTCTGCTTGTATTAAAGATTAATAACAAATGAATGAAAGATAAATGATTTTGCAATAGCATCGTGTATGTCCTACCAGCTAATTGACCCAACTCAACTGTATACAAACATTTTTTCGGTTTCTTGTTCTTGGCTTTTGAAATTGGAGGATGACTTTAGTTTCGGTTGCAAAGCTCTTATCATTTGACTGTACTCATGAGGCATAGATATTACCTGGATGGTGGAATGGATTGTGCAAATTTTATCATTGGAATTCATCATTTCTTTCACATATCTTAAATTTAGAATTGAGCTCTTTGCTGCATATTTTGATTGTGAGCATTGTTGATCCTTATGAAGATAAAAAGATGTGGAGAGACGGGTCGAAGATTGCGAATTTTCAAGGAATAAATGTTGAAGAATAGTGTTTCACCAACAGGTTCCTCAGCACAGCCGGATGTAAACATTGACGACCTTGAGGTAAATACATTTTTTTTATAATATTGTTTTCCATGTTTTGAAAATTTTATTGTACAAGTAACCTCAGATTTGTGTTTTAATTGGTAAAACTTACTGAACTTGAGTCAGAGTTAACTCAGATCAATGCAAACAGTGAAAAACTTACTTTGGAATTTTTGTTGAGGCATTCAAAGCATTTGATGTCAATATTATGGAATTCAGTTTTACAAACATTTAGCTTACATCATTTATTCTAGTGGAAGTGCCTTGTTGAGCCTATGCTTGTCCTCTGTATTGAGCTAAGCACCCGGATACCTTTTCTCTTTCATGGAATCATAGTTCAGACTTCAGAGTATGTAAATAGACCTCTGTATTATGTGTCCTCATCATTTGCTGGAGCTAGACACATTCTAGGACAGTAGGACTTCACTCACATTTAATTTCGTTAGTTGCATGGTATACGTTTAAGATTGGTCAGGTATTTTCCTTCACGACAGTGTGATGAATTAATAAAGTGAAGAATAATTTTCAACAACTAAACAATTAATAATGATGTCAGCCTCAACCAATTTGTTTACTTTTTTCTATGATTTGTTTATTTAAATTCTAAATGCATTATGCCATCTTTAGTTACTGAACAGGTCATAGTGTGCTATTAAAGTATAGAGAGATTTTCTGCTGGCTGTCATCTACTAGTGTTTTAATTTGCATACTTGCAAATTGCAATAGTGAAAGTATCAATGTCAGCATTCTGCATTGATACTGCAATCCATGTATCCAAACAGTTGATATATATATATATATTTTTATTTATTTTTATTTATTTATTTATTTATTTTTTAATTTCATGTTTCATAAAGTCACACCTATGCAAAGCTGCACAAGTGACCCAAAATTCATATAGTTCCTTCTGCAAAGTTTTTCAAATGTGGTTTAGATAGGTATATTAAATGCTCATGACCACACCAACTCAGTCCTATTGCTTGTATTTTTAACACGATTTTTACCTAATTATTTGATCAGGTGAAAGATGAACTTTGCAAGGAGAATCTGCAGCTTGTCAGTAAGTTATTGAATTACTTTTGTTGTCACGCTGTCATTAGATGGTTAGCTGCTAGCGGAATATTTTAGAGCTTCTCAAACAATTCATTTTAAATTCAGATGAAAATCTACTAAAGGAACCTCGTATTGTGGAACTCAGGAACCAGGTTTGATCATAATCCTATGATTTGTGTGGTTCATTTTTAAATTCTAATAACGTATGAATTTTCCCCCTCCTCATATGGAAACAGTATAGAATAATTTGTACAACTCAATTAGCTGTTGCTCAAGAGAAACTAAATGAGCTTGACAAGCAGAAAGAGGAAGTGTTGAAGTTGAATTCCCCACCATACCTTCTCCAAAGGATTCAAGGTATGCCTTGACATGATGACTTATTGTTATAGACGTGTGATTATATTAATCACGAAAATTTATCATTGTTTTGACCTGCTTGGTTTCATAATATCTTGTGTAATGATTTTGAAGAGGCTATGAATAAGACAGAAGAAGAATCTGAAAATCTGCACAAGCAAGTCCTTGACAGAGAGATTGACATTGGAGCTTTTCTGCAGCAATACAAAAGCTTACGTACTGCTTACCACAGGAAAAGTCTCATACATCTTGCAGCTAAAACATCAAATATATGAGCATCACAAAAGGAATACGAAAATTAAGAATGTATCTTCTTGTTTGTAAAGCCTGTAATTGATTTTTTCTTCATTCTTGTTAATATTAGTAGTCATCTGTCAATACATGTATTTTCATTTTTAAGTAGTTTCAGACCATCTGAAAAGGAGTAACCGGCAATAGCATCCAAATTGTAAACATTATCTAAAGTCTGCAGAATTGAAGAAGCGTTTTGCCTTCTCACTTTAACAGAAAATATCCTGATACAGCATAACATTTGTTCTGGCAGCTCCTCTGCTTTGTTCCCCTGAATTATGATGAAAATATGAAGAAAATATCAGCGAATTGAATGGAAAGTAAGCAAAAAATACATTTGATTTTGACAGTTAAGAAACTACTTGCCTGAATAGTGAAAGTTATAAGAATTGTGAACTTGTAGGCATCATAATATTAAAAAAAATTATAAAAAATTACCTACGATTTTTCCTAGGAAATTTACTTGCGAATTTGAAATTTTGCAGAAAATTTACTTGGGAAATTTTAATTTTGCAAGAAATTTACTTGCAAATTTTAATTTTCGTGAAAAATTTCTTACAAAAATTTTGTGAATTTTAAAATTTGTAAGATATTTTTTGCAAATTTTTTAAGAATTTTTTTTCCACAAGAAAGTTTGCTGTCAATTCTTTTTTTACAAGAAAGTTTTCTATAGATTCTTTTATAGCAAAAATCATAAGAATTTTTTTTGCGAATTTTGAAATTGACAAGAAACAATTATCTACGAAAGTGATAGAAAAAATTCTAGTAGTGGTTAAACTTTATATATATATATA